ATGTGGTGATCTCCGAAATAGTGCTATAACTTCTACCGCTTAGACTTGGTTGCTTTTTCAAATTTTCCTAATAAACAATCGTGGTTTAAAGCTCAATAAAAACGTTAAATATACAAATTAAATTTTTTTTTAATTAAAATGAATTTTTTTGAATTTTTTTTTTTAAATAAAAAATAATTTTTATGTTTTTTTCAAAAAGGGGTATTTTTTTAATTTTTTTTTTGCTCAAAAGAAAGCTTAGGTATTTTTCTTTAAGAGCTTTGTGGTCCCTTAGTGGGATGCGACTTGTTTATCAATCAAAATTAGCGTTTAGTAACTCGAAACAGCGGTTTTTTTAATTTTTAATATGACCTATTGTCTTCTTTTTTTTCGTATTATTGTATAAGTGTCTCTGAAACCTGAAAATAAAACTTATATGAGAAGGTATATACAATTACCTTTCCAACGGTATATAACACGCCTAACCAAAGTTTCATACCCTCGATACTGCAATTCTTGTAGTTAAGGATGATTAAGATTTTTCGTAGTCTAACACACCAGGTACTCGATTTTGTGCATCCAAACTCTTTATTAATAGCTTTGCAGAATTTTGAGTATTAGATTTGCATACCTACTAGCACAATATTTAAGAGGTATGAAGAATATGGGATTTTCCGGTAGTTAAGGATGATTAAGATTGTTTGCTTTTTTGCTTTGCTTTTTTGAGGTCGCTTAGTGGGATGCGACTTGTTTATCTATTAAAATGAGCATTTAGTAACTCGAAACAGCGTTTTTTTTTTTAATTTTTAATATATGACCTAAGTGTTTCTGAAACCTGAAAATAAGACATAAAAAATTTCCAATGCTATATAACAAGCAACTAAAGTTTCATACGCTCTGATATTGAGCGGTACCATCGATTGTTACTGCAACATCGAATCTTCTCTTCAGTGATATCGCAGTTTCCGCATGATCATCTTTGCTACTAAACATTATTTCAGTTTCTTTACAATAATTCTTTGTCCACCGGAATAAAGCTATCGCATCTATGATACGAGCTTGATTAGAGCATTGGAGGCTATACTTCGCTGCATTTCTTTTAATATTTGCTCCTATACCATCACCTGTTCCTTTACGATGAGCAGTAGGATGAAAATGCCACTCAGCTGGTGTATCGAAATCTGTTTCATGAGCCATAAGATTTGCGAAGCTACTTTTGTTTTTAAAATGCTGACGAGCTCCATCCGAAACGTAGAATACCTTCGCTACTGTGAATTTGGATTTTAGATAATTTAGTATTATCTTCTGGTACTCATAAGCAGCAACGGCGTCATGCTTCAAATCGTCGGATATGATTGCCATACTTTTATGTTCCAGTTTTCCATCTTTCATGTAGTAAATAACTATTGTAAATATAGTTGCTTGGTCGTTATTGAAATGGAATGCTTGTATGGCATCCTGGATAACATATTTATAGTTTTCTGCGAAATCGTATAAAATAACGAATTCACCTGCCTGCAAATGTATCCTCAAATTTTCGAAGAATGACCGCTGCTCCTTGACTAGAAAGTCATGGGTTCTCAAGTTTACCAATCCGGTACAAATTTCTTCCACAACATCGTCCACACTTAAGATAACTGTTTTCAATGTGCACCTTTCAGACTGCAGCCAAGATTCAAATTTAACCTCCTCCACAAATTCTCGGTCAAAAGACTTGATCAAATTCTCTTTGATGAACGTAGTTCCCGGGCAATTTGAGCATTCACCCAAGTGGCAAGAAGTTGATACAATAGGACACATTGTCAATTTAAGGCTATCACGGTAACTGTTTAAATATTCCGGCGAATCATATGTTAAATAATTCAAGTTGATTTCCTTCAACATCAGCTTCACATTTTCATGATAAATGCAATACGCATACTGTATGAGTTCCGCTGCTTCCTGCCAAGACGCAATGTTTTGGCCTGAGCTGGGTAAATTTTGTGAATCCAATTTTAATATCCTCGTGTTCAGATTGAAAGCTCGCGAATAGCTCATTCAGGTTGCAGAGAATTATCCTCTTCTGCATTTGAACTTTCTTACCGTCAATTCGTACAGACACCCAGTCTTTCATCCCTGGCATCAGGCGACTCATATCATCGCGCTGATAAAACCGAGTCACTAGAGCTTCAGTTTTGCACTCTAAAGGTTTTCCTTTCTTTGTGTTTGGGAGTGTGAGTATGCCATGCTCTGAAATTAATTTTTTAGCAATCATGGCTTTTCTTTCTGATGTTCCAAACTCAGCCATTGTTTTTGCGCGACTCCATGTCGGTGGAGCAAGCGTGAGAAGTTGAATTTTTTCTGCTCTATTAGTTGAATTTTTGTACTTTTCTTTTATTTTCTCAAGTACTTTTACTGCATCCTTCTGGTATTGGTTTTGGCACTCATCCCTTGAAGTCATATTTTCATCATTCTCAGATTCAATATGGTCTCTATCTAGAATAACGTCTTCACAAGGCTCATTACTTTTCGAAGTCGGTAATTCCTTCAATTTGCTGAGCTCTTTCCTGCACGATCCACAAATTCGCATCCGTTTTGATAGCGTAGGGAGTTTTGATATTAAGCCGTCAGAAAGCCGTCGTGTATCTGAAGATACGTGGTTTTTTTTGTTGAAGGGATTAAAGCAAAAAGAAGCAAACATTTCTTTATCAAGCTTAGCCTTTTTCTGAGACTAGCTATTGAAAATATTAATTATGTAAATAACACAGTCTTTATTTTAACGCTGTTTCTAAAAAAGTGGTCTTCAGAATGACCATACACTGCCTTCATAAACTATAGCTGATTTATTATA